GGACGTTCGCTTTGTGGAGTCATTCTTACCACTCATACACTGTAAGTAGTTACATACATATATCTGCATGTATATTCACGCTGATGCCGAAGGATCAGCTAATTATACAGAGAAAGTGTCACTTGTTTCTTCTGAAATGTGAGAACTTCCATAAGGAGTTAATCTGTCAGCTCTGCTCGTCCAGACAGTCACAGTGGTCAGGTCTATTGATCACCAGAAATATGGCTACAGCTTCAGTAAGCATGGGATGTCTCAAGTTGGCTGGGGTCTTGTTCTCCTGAATGAAAGAAGAAGGAATCAATTTAAAGTTTTTTACTACATCTTCCCAGTCTGTGCCATGTGTAACATGTAACTTAAAGAAATATTAAAAATTAATAGTGTGGTCCAGCAAAGAGAGCAATAACAGAGGATGGGTTTGCTACTATGCTGTACTTGACAGACATAAATATATATATTTAAAATGAAGGAATGATACCTAATCCAAGACTCTTCCCATACATTAAAGTAGTTTTGAACTCAAATAAAGTAGTTTCACCTCAAATAGTGAGCCCAGAGCACGCTGTGAGAGAAAAAATCAGCTCAGAGGGCTACCTCAAACTCTGCCAGGCCAGTCTTGCTCTACTCCATGTAGCTTCTCTTTCTGTTCAAAGACTACTCGTGAAGTTTGGACTCCCTGTAAATTCATGGCTCCCCAGTGCACCATGCTTCTGGATAACACAAAAGTCTGAGCTCTCAAGGCATTTGGCATGGGATTAGGTTCAGCTTTTTCCGGAATTGCTCTGTTGAGCAAATTTTCTTCAGTCATTTGAAGAGCTCAGCTGCCTGTGTTTTACACAAGGACCTTTTATACAAAATGTTCTGGCACTTTTGAAGAGAGCCCTGAACGTTCGCTGCCGTCAGTCCCATCACCGTTCCCCAGTGGAGCCTCTCTCAGCCCAGGGGCTGGTGTTTCTGTGCTGATTTCCAGTAGTTCAGCCAAGTTCCCCTCACTCGATCATTAGAGGCTCCTAAGGTCATTTAAATTTTACTAATTCATAAAGGAAGAGCTGAGGCACTATCTTGGCTAAAATAAGAAAAGAATATTCTGAGAAAATACAGGGCCTGTCATGCCTTATATGGCTTGGGCTTTGTTGTTTTTTGTTTTCTATTTACAGGGAGACGTCCCTGAAGACCTCTACTAAGTGAATCTCTTCTTGGGTTAAGTCTACACTAATAAAAGCCCGTTCAGAGATGCTGATTCCAGAATTGAGTCTCTTGAGTCTCCAGTGACTTTTCTTCACGGGTACTTTTCTGTTCTGATACAAGCTTCCTGTGCATTATTAGTCAGTAACATATGGAGAGAATACCTTGAAGAAGTGCACTATCTGAGCAGGCATGAATTGATTATTGAGACTTCCCTCCCCAAATTTTAACACTCTAAATAGAAACAAGTAAGAAGAAAATGTGTGTGTGCAACTTGTTCGTTTCGTGGAAGGAGGAACAGCATTCATGGACCCCTCTGAGGTTGTGAGAGACATGAGGATGCTTGCAGACACAGACCCATCTCCAGCACTCTCTGGGAAGTTTGGAATATTCTGACGAAGAAAGTGCAGTACAGATAAAAAAAATAACTCAGTGCTTAAGCTTGGATGGAGGTGGAATGATTTCTCATCGTTTTAATCAAAGTCACAGAAAAAAAAAACCAGTGTGTGCTGACCTCCTCCCAGGCTGTGTGTGGGAGGGGAGCGAGGGGAGTCGGTGACGTACCCCCCGACCTCCCCTCCTCTGAAGACGGAGCAGAGGATGACGGTTTCACATACTCAGCTGTTTGATTTCCTTTCCACTAGCCATAATTAACATTTATTCAAGCAACATTAGGAAGAACATAAATATTTCAAAGGAGCTAATTACAGCATCCAAAACATCCTCCAAGCTACTCGTTTAATGAGGATGTGCTTTGTTCCTGCAGTAGTGTAACGTTAATTTCATCAAGCAATTAAAAAAAAAACAAAACACAAAACCAGACACCGTACAGAAAGATGGGTTGTTTTTTTTTCCTCCTGTTTACAAGAATGCTCGCTTGCATTTTGGTGAGTTTTTTGCATAAAAATGACCTTCACAAGCTGTGAAAAACCTCCTATAAACTGAGATTCAAGCTTGGAGAACACGCTCTGTCAAAATTTGCAGAGATTTCAGTAGGAATATTGTCCTTGTATAAACTTGAGTTTGGGCATAATGCAAACATACCTTTTTGCTACAAGTTACACTGTTTTTTCTAGTATAGGATTAGGAGAATTACAGTTAGTTTACCGTACCCCTCTATCAGGAAATACAAAACTATGTTGCTGCTCTTAGTAAAAAAGTGTAGTCTAAAATGAAGTGTATTTCACCCTGGGTTGGAAGAAATGGAAGAGTGTAGCCTGCTCAGATGCAGGTAAGGTAACTCCAGAGGCAGACGGGATTGCATGTGTGACAGTTACTGCATTTCAGGTGAAAGATTATGGAGCAATACAAACCCAAGCACGGAGAGAGGTATTAAATATCTTTTTTTCCCGTAAATGGAAGACCAGAATTCTTCCATCTGGAAATTTTTCTCACCATCTTCAAAATCTCTTTTAATAGGCTTTTGTGTAAGTGGACTCCGCAAAATTTTCCAGTCTGCAGTATTAAAACAGGTACCACAAAGATGCAGTTTCTGGGCTAATCAGAGCTCTTTCAACTGGCAATAAAGTTTATTTCAAGATGTATCTTTTTTTCACTGTTCTTAAAACACTATGCACCATTCATAGGTGCAGAATGTTTACAGGCATTTAACTCTCTCATTATAAAATACTGTATTTTATTTCACAATCTATTAAATATTTAACAAGAATGTGTTAATTAAAATGCATAACAAATTACATCCTTCCCCAGGCCAGGGCTCAGGACAGTGATTCATGTATTTGAATCCAGATAGATTAGGAAGATACCTTTCAGTGCTGATGGCTTCCCGCTTATTATAATGTCTTCTGAATAAATGTTTTTTGGCTTTATTAACAGAAGCCAGAACCGAATCCAATTCCTCCATTTGGATTGTTTTAAAACAACTCTTTTAATTAGGTAGATATAAATACAACACCACATATAAAATACGGGCTCCTTAATTGATGTGCTGGCTTTCCATTGACACGAGGATTCATTGTGTCCCCAGTCCTACGAAAGGAAGCTCTGCTACTGGATCTGATGGAGAAGATACTTGTCTTACTATGAGAACTTTACAGCACCTTGACGTGCTGCTTGGCAGAGCTTTCCAAATGTTGATGGCTTGTCAAAGCGCTGACGGTGGCAGAGCACCACTTGTAGCTCAAACCCCTGAGAAGAGTAAGGACAAAGAGCAGACAGCAACGCCGTGATTATAAATTAAAGTCACTTTTGGTTTCACAGTAAAACCCACTGCTCGTCAGGCATCTTTACTCCACCCCCCACTGAAATGGCCAAAAAGAACCAAATGGCGTTTTGGAAAAGAAAAATCTCTAATATTGTCCCACTGCCTCATTGCTGGACCATGATGTAGTATTTCCTCTAAAAGTCAGAAAAAAAATAAAAAACCAAGCCAAAAAATAGGAGTCAATGGGGAAAAAATGCTGGACCATGATGTAGTATTTCCTCTAAAAATCAGGAAAAAAAAAATAAAAAACCAAGCAAAAAAATAGGAGTGAATGGGAAAAAAAAAATACTCCACCCCCCACTGAAATGGCCAAAAAGAACCAAATGGCGTTTTGGAAAAGAAAAATCTCTAATATTGTCCCACTGCCTCATTGCTGGACCATGATGTAGTATTTCCTCTAAAAGTCAGAAAAAAAATAAAAAACCAAGCCAAAAAATAGGAGTCAATGGGGAAAAAATGTGGAAACAAATCATAAGGATAGACTTTAAATTGGGAGATGCTGCCCTGAAATGCTCTCTGTAGCATCTCGGGGTTGGAGTGGCACCTCAGGTGGGCAGGATCATCCCGGAGTGAATGCTGAGGGAGCAGGTGCCTTTGGAGCAAGCCAGGACCTGCTGGGACTGCACATGGGCTGGTGGTTCGGGCTCCCGCAGACTTGGGCAGCAAATTTGGTAAAATGGGGCTTGTGGCATTTCAGGGGTGGCTGCACTGACCTGCTGAAGGGTCTTTTTACAGATGTGGGGCTCGTGTGCTGTTCAATATCTTATCATGTAGCTGCTTTGACTGTCTATAGGTATGAATAACACCTGGCACCGAGGTCTGCAGCTGTGCTTTAAGTAAAATGACTTGCTAAGGACAGAATTACTATTTTAATCCCCAAACATCACCACATCACTGAGTTCTGTGCCATGGCGGGACTGTTTAGTATGAGGAAGAGGAGGCTGAGGGGAGACCTCATCACTCTCTACAACTACGTGAAAGGACACTGTAGAGAGGTTGGTGCTGGTCTCTTCTCACAGGTAATTAGTGACAGAACGAGAGGGAATGGCTTCAAGCTCCAACAGGGTAGGTTTAGATTGAACATTAGGAAAGAATTTTTCACCGAAAGAGTGGTCGGGCATTGGAACAGGCTGCCCAGGGAGGTGGTGGAGTCACCATCCCTGGCTGTGTTTAAGGGCCGTTTAGATGCAGTGCTGAGGGACATGGTGTAGGGGAGGACTTTGTAGAGTAGGGTAGATGGTTGGACTCGATGATCCCAAGGGTCTCTTCCAACCTGAATGATTCTATGATTCTATATTGTGTGTATTTAAGGCACGGGGAACGTCAGGAACCGGTCACCCCCCTGCAGCAGGGGGGTGGTCCTGGGGGTGGGTGGGTGAGTGGGTGCACATCCTCAGAGCCTCCCCACCCCAGCCACCCACCCAGATCCTCGATGGCTTTTCCCTGGCAGGCTGGGCAGGGTGGGCAGGGCGGCTGAGAGCCCTCCCCGGCTCAGCCTGATGCTCGTCCACGTGCCAGGGAGATTTAAAAAGTTTGGGGAGGGAGGGAGGGCACGGCCAGAAGAGCGGCTGGCAGAGCAGGGGACACCGCGGGCATGGGACATCTCTGCCACCAGCAGCCCCCCGCCGCCACCCCCCAGCGCTGCCGGAGGAAGGCAGGGGACGGCGCGGCGCCGCCGGGGTCCCCGCTCCTCCTCCTCCTCCTCCTCCTCCTCCTCCTCGCCTCCTCGATGTCTGCTTGTGAAGGTGAGAGCATCCCTCTAGCAACCCCTTCAATATATTTTTTTTTGGGGGTGGGGGAGGTGACCCTTCAGCTTGCCAGCCTGGGTGGGATGTGGGGCCGGGGGAGATGCAGGGATGCTCTGGGGGCTGGAGATGCCGGGCACGGCTTCAGGGGTTGGGTTTTTGTTGGGGTTTCCTCCTGTATCCCGGCAGGATTACCCTGTTTTGGCAAAACTACAGGGCAGTAACTTGGGGAAGCGGCTTTTGTTAAAAGCAATTTCATTTTAAATACGATTTGCTCTGATTTACAAACTAATTCCGAGATGTACCACAGAATTGTAGGAAAAATTGGGACCCTCTGGAAGTCACTTAGCCCAACCTGAAGTGGTATTTATTGCTTGGGGAGTCTCTGGGGGTGGGGTTAATTGGGAAAGGATAGAGCCGCTTTAAGCGTAGAGCTTGATTATCTTGATTTAATTTGAAATGCCGGCTTACACATGAAAGATGTTATTTTTTGTAACAGGGAGTGCTTGTCAAACAAGCACAGCTAATGGGCTTATTAACAAAAGGTACTCTCTTTTCTATTCTATTTTCCTCCTCCAGATAGATTAACTACTTATAGCTTGTGGAGTAACATTAGAAAACAAGCTGCTGTGCAAAGAGCAGTTCTGTTTTGTTTGTATTATATGTGTGTGAGTTACTTTCACCAGGAATTTTTGTTCTGACTTGATGTGGAATCTGAGCAGAGTAGACTGAATGTTCTATTAAAAATAAATTCTGAAGACACGGAAGAGGGGAGGGAAGGAAAAGGAGGGCAAGGAAGAGCAACGGCAATGGATTTAGTCATTGTTCTTACAGAAATGGTTGTGCAGGGAGAGCACTGGAGGGAAGAGAAGATGCAAGAAGTGAATCCCAGGTAGAAAATTGACTGAAATTCTGCAGCTGCCATTCTGCTGCCTTGCGAGAAGCTGAGTTTTCAGAATTTGGCAGAATTGAAGGATAAGCGAACAAATATATCATGGACAGCATCAATTTTGTAGGAGGATTTCCTCCTGTGTTCCTTTTGGATAGGACTGCTTTCCTCAATAGCACTCTTCTTCTTTTTTTTTTCTTTTTTTCTTTTTGTCCCTGTGGCTATTTTGTGTACATTACAAAATAACTTATTATTTCCCTGTGTGTGCTGCTGTGTATGTGTGTAAGTGAGTGAAGTCCTACAGTGATTGCAGCGCTGTTCTGGAGGGGGTGAAACAAGCTGTAATATTCAGGTTTTTTTGCCTCTGCCCTAAACTTTACAGGCTACTGGGTTCCTTCTGCTCCCCCTGGAAAGCCTTGGGAACCACACAACGGTGCTCAGTGACAGGCAGGCAAAGGTTTAAGGGGGAAAGTGTGTCGATTTGAGGTGTTGTTAAGTTCCACAACCAGGATACCAGACCCAGGCAGTACTCCAATTGGAATATACTAATTTAAGAACAGAAAACAAAGTAAGAGAATTGCAGCACATTTCACTTATTTGGAGTTATTCCTTGAACTAAAATAAACATTTAAAAAAAAAAAAAAGCAAATTTTCATTGAAAAGCAGTTCTCCTATTATGTGAACCTCCTAGAGATTACAGAAATATCCCACTTCTATACAGGGTGAAATTAAGCCCCCTTTTAATTTATTTATTTTTTCCAGAAAATAACCATCAAGAATAATTAGTCACCTTAAGTTTGTACCAGTACCAAATTATGGTTTTGAAATCTACCCCTTAATGCCCAGAACTAAACACTGTTGTAATTATTGTTATTAGTATTACTTTTAAAACAAATGGAGGTGATGCACAATTGTGCCCTGCTCACCTGGCCATTCCAGCTAAGTCTGCCATCACCGCTTTTTTGGTTAATATAGGTGGATGCTCTGGTGCTGGGTCAGGAGGGACCCAGAAACTGTGAATTCCAGGTTTGTAGCCTGGATGGGCTGAGTTGGAGGAAGGAGCTGCCCCCAAGCCAAGAATTATGCAATTAATAACACATTCAGTCTTCTAAAGGATTGAGCTTTTCCACATCACACACACCCGAGAGGGGAAATAAAGCTAGTTCCACGTGTACTATCACCTCATGTCTTGGGTATTATTCATATGCAAGCTACGTGGCAAAGCACACGTTTAATTGTTTAGCTGTGACATGCAATAAAGCGAGAGGTGGGCTCCAGCTTCTCGCCTGGCGATGTGTGTGCTGGAGGGGAGCTCAGGTCTCACCTCATGTCTTGGGTATTATTCATATGCAAGCTACGTGGCAAAGCACACGTTTAATTGTTTAGCTGTGACATGCAATAAAGCGAGAGGTGGGCTCCAGCTTCTCGCCTGGCGATGTGTGTGCTGGAGGGGGAGGCTCCAGGGCTGGAATGTATTTCTTGAGCAGGTCTTGGCATTCGAGAACTGCCACGCAAATTGTCTCGCCTGCTGCTTGTCACTGAGAAAGGACTAACACCAGCCTGACCCCTGGTGAAAGCTGAATGATTTCCACACTGGTTATTGCTAAGAGATGTCAGTGTCCGTATCTGCTGCGAACTTGTGAAGAAGCCTCCTGTGTTGCTGACACAGAGCAGGCACAAACTACTGGGCAACGATAAGTGTGTCAGGTACCATCTTGTGTTCAGTGTTTTTATTTAAATCACTGACACAGGATATTTATACAAAAAAGCTTTGTTGTACTGCATTGCTAAGCACAGTTTGTGCTTCCAGGTGCACCGATGCCATCCCAGGCACTCGAGGCGGATCAGGATTTGCAGCTGTGGAAAGAGGTAAGCATCATCTGCACGCTGCCCTATGGTAGACTCCATTTCTTCTGTGCCCACCCTTCCTGGGGTCACACCTCGCTCTCCAGTGTTTCTCTTGTATGGAGTTCAGGTCTTCCTTCTTTCGGTCCTGCTTCTCCTGCACATCTCCTATCCTGACATCAGCAAAGAGGTGAAACACATTATTTTCCAGATTTTCTGAATGGTTATTCCAGCAGAACGTTGAGTTGGGTGTTGAGATGTCATTCAGGGAAAAGACTGCTTTGGCTCAATGGAGAGCTACATTTGATAAAAGTTGTCATTTAACTGTCCATGACCAAGCAGTTACTGTCTCTGGAAGAAACACAGTGTCCCATCTGGTATTTTTATAGGCTGTACACAATTGTCTCAACTCATCCAATCTTACCTCTTGCTTCTTCTGTTCCGCACACAAGGCTGGGACACTGTATTTAATCCTATTCTACCTCTCAATTTGCTAATTAAGGGATAATGTACGGTGTCAATTAGCCCCTCTAACACGTTGCTACTGATCGCTATCATGACTTCCACTCTCACCTTCGAAACCAACATGTGTCTTGGCTCCAGGATGTGACACGTGTGTTAACACGGGCTCTTCCCTGCAAAGGCAAAGTTTCCATTGATTTCAGTGAACAAAAAAGTATGCAGAAGATACTAAATTCTGGGTAAAATTATGTAATGTAACCAGTATAATGCTTACTATTTTAGCAAGAATAATGCAGCACTGGAGAGTGTCTAAGGAAAGGGAAATGGATGCACAGGTTTTTACCTGAAATCAACATGATTACAGAGCCATACTAGTTTACCAGAGTTTCCTGGAATTAAAAGAATCAGTTCTTCCCTGTTTGTTACTTTATTAGTAGATCATCCAGGAGAAGCCCTGCCTCTAAATTAATTTAGTATTTTCCAGGAATGACTCCGAGTTTATAAATATAGGAACTTTGTAACTAAGTATTGCCTTCCTTTACTCCTCTCTCACATACTTTCATTTCTTTGTGTTATTTAACCAACCCCAATGCAACAATGATGAGAGGAACTATTAATTTGTATATTTTTTAAAGGAAGTAACAGAAACTGTGGCATTTCCTCAGCCTTTGCTTTGTCCATGCAGGTTCTGGCTGAGAGATACTGCTTTGTGTTAGACACAGTGAAGGCAAGGTGTCTTGTCCTGTTACTGACTGAGGGTAGTTCTCTCATAGTCTCCTCCAACTACACAACAAGCAAAGAAACCAATAAAAACCAACAAAATCCCTCACCAAGAAGAAAAAGCACATTTTTTTTACATTTTACACACAGGCTTACAAAATGGCTTCAGCTTAGTTTATCTCATTCACTGCTAATTTCTCCCTCTACGTTTTTTTACTCTGAAAGTGGCAAAGCTGAACTAATATACCCGGAGAGGAGCAAATGCACGATGAAGGGAAAAGAGAACGGGGAGGCTGCCTTACCAACAAAAACTCTTTGAAGGGGGAATTCTGTGAGCTATTAGCTTTCCCACTCTCTCTGCTAATGCTTTCTCGCAGATTGTCTCTAGAGAAATGAATCATCTCTTGTCTTGAGGCACTCAAATATGCATTATTTGTTTATTGCTTTTTTCAGTTAATGTTTTCATTGCTAAAGAGTGTTGTTTAGGGTTTTTTACCTATAATAAAATTGTAAGATCCATTGCATTACCTACTCTTTATTTAAAAAAAAAGTAATTTTAATGCCTTCTACGAACTAGATGACTGGCAAAGCTTTCTGGCATCTAGACAAATGGTATCAAATATTCTATGCCGGAAATGGTGCATATCATCGCAGCTTGCTAATGATACCGTTTTAAAGTTATATACTGAAAAGTTAAGCCTCTTTTTTAATTATTATTAAACTATGCAGCTTCAATTGGAGTACTTGAGATTTTTTTCTTTTCCGTACAGACAACTTTGAGCTTTCAGGGCTGGTAATATTATTTCCACGAATGCCAATGCCCTGTATTCCATTTCTTCTCCTGCCCTGATTAATAACTCTGCTAAAATTGGTTCAGTAGCACAGGATTCTTTTGTCTTGGCAAGGAGATAACAAAAAGAAGCCGTGATTAACTGTCTACACAAGGTCATGAACAGTAGGGAGGCACTGAGCAGGGATCACATGTTCATTGCTTCCTCCAAGACAAGATGGTGATAGCACTGATGGAAGGTGGCTTGGAAAAGATTGCTCAAGACCAATGGAAATGCAGTGTTTAGGAAGCCACAGGACACTGGGGACACCAAAAGTTTACAATGGTCCAGGGAGAGACCGGTCAAATTGACAGCACAGAAATCCACTGTGGCTGGAGATCATGGGTTTCACTGGACCACTGGTCTCTTCTTGGGCATTTCCCTGGGTGCCGATGTATGGCCAGATTTGGAGGTGAGATGCTGAACTAAATAGACATTTATTTTGATCCAGATGAAATGGCTGGTGGGGTTGGGGCTTCTTGGTTTGGTTTGTGGAATTATTTCTGTATCTCTGAGTGTAACATTCCATTCTGTGCTGATGTGTCTAAGTCCAAGTGCATTGACTTCTTCCACAGTGCTCTTTGAGTTTAGATCCCTTGAAATATATTGAATATATCTCTTACTAGCACTGTGATTTGGGAACCACGTCCTTTAAACAAAACCTTGTGAGGTTGTTCATATGCCAAAGAAATCAGTGCAAACCTTGGGTGTTGGCTGCCTGGAGACTCACACAAATTGTCTGGCCTGCATAAGACATGCTGGCACGTAAGATAATCATTCAAGAGATGCGTGTGTTGTCACACACCTGAAGAGATGCTGGAATCCAATCAGAAGAAGGGATTTTGAGGACTGCATTTTGAATCACGTGCTTTGTCATTTTCTTTGCAGTTTTGTATAATCCAAAGGTACCAGAGAAGAGATGTAAGTTCATATCCCAGATGCTTAAAATCGTAATTTAAAATATGGCTTAGTCTGAGAAGGCTACAAATAAAGAGGGATGTGAGTGGAGTATGAGAATAAAGGACCCAGATATGTATGTGTGTTTTGTGATCAAACAAGTATAAATTTGCTTATTTGGTCAAGGGCTATTTTCTCCTAAATACAAAATATTTCACGAGCATACCCATAAGAATTGATTATGGCAGACAAGCTTGCCATACCTTTGGCTGCACCGAACTCTTTTTGAAAATATATGTATTTCACTTGGGTTTTTTAATCTGACTTCCTAAAAAAGGACTCTGTGAACTTTTACAGATAGACGACGCATGTTCTGCCTACCTGTCCAGAGATTCTCAGCCTCAGGTGAGTCAGACACGGGTTACTTTATTATTTTGATCCTGTTTGTTACATGCAGTAGGATTGGAAGGCTGATGCCTGAGTTGATGTTTTCTTCACATTAGGCGTCCAGTGCACTGGAAGAACTTTGCTTTCTGGTCGTGGGTTTTCTCCAGAAACCACAGGTAACACTCACAAAAGACTAATAAGCATTTCTGAAGCCTGATGTCCCAGTGTGCCTGTGACTACCATGAATTCTGAGGAGCCAGTATGGGAAGTGTCACTCAGTGCTGGAAGTGATACTGTCACTTCTTACTCTGAAATGCTGTGTCCTAACTCAACACCTATTAAAGACAGCAGGGAGACTCCAACGTTTGGAAAACAATCTCCAGGCTGAATACGAGGTTTCAGATGTTTTTATTGCTTTAGATTAGAAAGATGATGAGCTTTCAATGGAGAAAGAAATTTACTTATGAGAGTCTAGGGACATATAAAGGAGCATCTGCTAAACCCATCTAGTCTTCTACTGGAGAGTAATCAGTGCTTTCTACAGAGTTTGAAAAGAGTAGTTACATTGATAAGCAAAGACATGTAATATATTTGTCAAGAAAGAACGATATTCCAGTCCAGTACTGAAAAGTTTATAATGTAATAAAAACTGCCCATTGCATTATTTTTTTTTAACAAATAAAAGCTTCTCTACCAATTGTTATTCCTACAGGGTTTAGATGAAAAAGACAACACCAAAAGGGTAAGATTTCTATGTATGTTTTACCATCACGCTAAAATTGTCAAGAAAATCCTAACACCCTTGCCCTGTTTTGTAGTAAAACCCCACTTTTAATTTTTTTGAACAGTTCTTATTTCATTATTCTAAGACTCATGACTCAGGCAACTCAGACATCACGGTAAGTGGCGTAGCACCTCCTTGTGAGTACACGTGTGCTTGTGTGTAAAAACAAGGCAATGTTCCTTTTTGCAGCAGTCCCTCCCACTGCTCAGCAACCCCATAATGGGGAGCTTTGCAGTTAAGATACAGAACGTCTTTTAATAACATGGAAGAGGATCATTGATACTGTACAAGAGTGCAAAAAACCAACCAAACACTCAAAGAATCCCAAACGCATCTTAATCTTGTAGTTCATTTTTTTTTTTAGAATAAGATCAAAAACTTGTTTCTGGTACTGGAACAGAACACATGCAGTGAAACAATGTGGATTTATAGAAGCATCAAGAACTCTTAATGAATTTTTATTCATTATTAATTAAATGCAGTGAAACAATGTGGATTTATAGAAGCGGAGAACATGACCATAAATATCAAGAACTCTTAATGCATTTTTATTCATTATTAATTAGATTGTATGTATTTATTTGTGCATGTCATAAATACGTATCAGGCAAAATAGTATTTAAGTCTCACTCAGATTTTGAATTATATTTTAAATGAAAAATATGATTTTAAAAATAGCCTGGTATTGTTGATATAACAATATTCCCATAAGACAACAACATAAACCAGACTATGTGTGATCCATTCTTGCTTTTAAAGTGCAAACATTATCTGTTATTTCTGTGCATCAATGTGTCTTTTCTGTGCGTGACAGGATTTCGAGGTAGTTCAACGCAATCATTTTTTTTCTCACTTCTTAACAATCATCTGATACATCAATGACCATTTTGGCCTTGATCTCTACGTTTCCTCAGAAATATGTGGTATATTTCCTAGACAGTGATATTGCTGACATTGGGGTCAGTGTTTTCATGATAGAATTGGAGGTTTTGACAGTTTTCAGGGCACTATTCTATTTCTATTTAAGAGGCCACTTTGTCCCCATCTGGAATGCCTTTGCCCCTGCCTGCCCCCAGGAATTGCTGCTTTCTCACTTTTTTCTGGTTTAGCTGTTCAGGTGACTCTTTTCCAGTCCAGGTCTCAGAGATACTGACCTAGTGAGATCCATCGTTCTTCAGCTTTATTAACCTCTCTCCACTGACTGCAAGACAGAGCTGAGATGCCCTTTAACTCCTCCACTATGCATCAGACCTCTACTTTTTTAGCTATTATGATGCCACATTGCCTATCTTAGGGCAGACAGTGCAAAAGGTCTCAGAGATACTGACCTAGTGAGATCCACCATTCGTCGGCTTTATTAACCTCTCTCCACTGACTGCAAGACAGAGCTGAGATGCCCTTTAACTCCTCCACTATGCATCAGACCTCCACTTTTTTAGCTATTATGATGCCACATTGCCTATCTTAGGGCAGACAGTGCAAAATTGGCTCCAAGTAGGCAAGTTCATTTTACCTATTAAATACATTATCACTTTGGTAACTCTAGCTATTCCATAAATTATATTGCTCTTCGGTGTTACACTTTTCTAAGTATTGGATAAAAAAATGCAATATTTTTAAAATTACATTTACATGAGTTGAAGGTTGAAATTGGTTGATGGAACATGGGGTTTCTACTTTATTCCTCATGGTGGACCTTGTGGTTGTGTTTTGCCAGGGGGGCACTTACACTGCACACAATGACCACCATGCTTAACCAGGCTGTCTGCAAGCATAAAGTCTTGTTGAACACAAGGAATTTCATGGTTTGAGCTTGTCTCTTAGGCACAGTGGCCACGTCCATGGGTAGAAATTTCCCCTGAGAATGGATCCCTCCCATACGCTCTTTTCTAGTAAAAAAAATAAATAAAATTCTTAATTTTCTGAAGTTATTTTGAAGTAAAATGAACTTTTCATTACAACGGAGATTGAAGCTGCTAAATTCCATAGCAGATAATAGTAGAAATGTTAGCAGGAGCAGTGTATGGAAGTGTTCTCTGTACCACTCCCAGAGGCTGATCAAAGTCTGAGTTATTGCAATTGCCTGGGCAAAAAGTCTGTAAATGGTTCTGAACTTCCAATGAGTAGAGGTGAGGGCACAGCTTTTCTCTCCATCACTGTGTGAGTCACAGTCCTAGTGTAAATATAAATGTTGCTACCTGTTTGTTTTCAAGTCTGAATGTTCAAAAAACAAGTTTCTCAATTAACATCTTCAGTTCTTTTTTGGTCCATAAGCCAATACTGCGGGAAGAGACTTCTTTTGCATCGTAAGCTCCAAATGTCATTGTTGCTCATGTGTCTGTGTTCGTGTCCTCTCAGTCCTCTGTCCTGCATCCTTTGCTGCAGCTCGTTCCCCAGCTTAATGAGAGAAGACTGAAGAGATACAAAGCGGACGTATGTAATCTCAAACTCTGCATGTTTGCATTCTTACACCTTGTGATTTTTTAGCTCTTCTAAAAATGTCCTCCTAGACCTTTCTGCTGATAACATTTTTATTTTCATGATTTACTATCACACAAGTCTACTTTCATCAGAAACAGGAGGTTTTTCTATGCTTTAATTAGAGAAAAATAATCCTGATGATATTTAACATTTAAAACAAAAAACCCCACTAAATATCTTCTAAAAATGTCCTCCTAGACCTTTCTGGTGATAACCTTTTTATTTTCATGATTTAATATCACACAAGTGTACTTTCATCAGAAACATGAGGTTTTCCTATGCTTTAATTAGAGAAAAATGATGATATTTAACATTTAAAACCCCACTGAATGTACACTTAACACAGAGCAGTGATAGAACACAGAGCCCAGGTACCAAAATGGATTGTGAGTTCTTTTATAAAAAGCAAAATAGTTTCAAAGTTATCTGTACCATTATATTGCAGTTGAGTCATATTTTCTGCAGGGGTCCTTGTTTTTTTAGCCTGTTTGGAATTCAAACCATATCTACTCCTTAAACATATACTGTTTATGACTTATAGCACTAAGAATTTCCAAGTGATTTATAGGTGATTTTCGTGTTTAACTTATGGTGCAAATAAGAAAGTTCTCCATGGAACTAATTTTCCATAGAGAAGTTGTGTGTTTTGGAACAGAAGTTTCACACAGAAATAGAGGTTGAACAAGATAACTTCTGGAGGGCAGGCACTAAACTCTAAATAAACACAGTTCCTCATTAATACATGTGTTTCTGTATACATATACACATGCAGGTTTGTGAATATACATGCATGCACACTATAGAATGTATTAGAGTGGGTTTTTTTAATATTTCCAAACCCTTGGAAGTTACGAGGCAACTGTTATAATGAAGGCAGATTTTAGCTTCAGTTGTTTTCTAATACCAACCTCCTGAGATGAAATCAAACCAGGAAACGATGTAACCTTCTTTAAGAGGTGTCTGGTTCTAAGTAGCAAATGGCATATTAACATAAAATAAATCACAATTCCATATTAGTAATTGTACTCTTGACTCCTTTAATGTTCTAGATAATTTCCTTATCTTGCCTATTTTGGTCTTGTTTTTATGTTTGTTCACACATTGAATAGAAATAGTAGAAAAATAATGTAATATAAATACCATTAGACACTCCAATGACAATGTGCAAAACCCCACTAATAGGCAAATTTTTAGCCTTTTCCAATTTAAAACCCCTTTAGTATTGAACAGATGGTAGATCTGCGATGGATATTTCAAAACCAGGTAATGCTAGAATGAGTCAGACATTAGGAATAAAAATCATACATGTTTTACCTACAGCAAAGAAACTAAGTTGAAAATAAAGGAAAACTCAAAAAACAGCTTAAACTCTACTTCATTGGAAAGCTTCCTTGCGTTGAAGCTATTCCTGTGTTAGGAAATGATGGAAGCCATTCTATTTCACACCATTCTTATCACATTAAAATAGAGCATGGAATGATTGATTTCTATGACAACTCTAGTTATGATCAATAGATCACATAACCTCATTTTTTAATTGAGAAATACCTTCATTGCTAAATAAATTCCATCTCAATTTTATGTTCTGCTAAGCAGAAGATTCGAACTGTGTTGTTTCTGAGTTGGCCTGTCTCTCCACCTGCAGGTCAGTGCCCTCACTCATGTACCTGGTATTAACACAGGCAATGAAAATACTGTCATTAAGCTTACGTGTTCTCTAATCATTAAGGTTCATTAAAATAACCGGATACTTCATGCTTTGTACATGTTACGTTTAAATGGAATTTGTATTTTCTTCATTGGTAGTTTCCCTTTCCTTGCTGTGTGGATCAGTAGGCAGCTGTTTCTCAAATGTGTGCAGCACGGGCAGGGTAGAATATCTCAAGGACTGGTCTGTTTTGGGGGAGTTAATGTGAGAGGGGTGATGAAGATATACCTTTGTAAACTGGTGAGGATCTCATTCCTGGGCTGGAGCCCAAGTATTTGTGGTTTTTAAGCTTTGCATTGTTGTCCAAGGTGCAAAGACCAACTTGAATCTTGTCCGTAGAGACTCTGCTACCATGAAGACACTGTTTGTGTCTGGATAATGAAACCTGGGAAGTGGAAGGCAAAGGCTTCTCGCCATTGCTAGTACCATTCCACAGCAATCTGAACTGAGCTAAAACTGTGTTTTCTCCTATTTCTCTATGAAAGCATGAACTTTGTATTACTGACGTGGAGAAATATATATAAAGCATGCCTTAAGGGGCAAGGCTGTACAGTAGTACTGAAGCACATAAACAAATTCTCTAGGTAGATTCACTTAAAGAGTAGATATGATTTAAAGTACTTTTTTTCAGGAAGAACTTCAAGGACCTGGAGGGATTCAAAGTCGAGGCTACTTTTTCTACAGGGTATGGTTTGTTTGGCTTTTTTTCCTTTCATTTTGTGATGCAGCAAAACAGAAACTTTTCCATTTCCCTTGTGCTTTTCCCAGTAAGATTAGAAACTAGATACAGAAATTCTCATGAGAATGAAACTATTCTGTTCATCTTAATGCCTCTTTACTCCATTTTTGTAAAATTAAGCAAGTTAAAGATGGCAAGTCAAAGTTAGTAATAATTCTCTTGGTTTTGGTTAATCTTTTTTTTTTTTTCTATTTAAATAAGAAAGTGGTTAATGAGAAGGAAGCAAGTTTGTACAGTTGTATTTCTTATGCATCAGGATTGGATCTGCAGAGTTCTTACTACAGGACAAAGTTACTGATGATATTTACATCTATGCATTCATGATGCCAGAGTGAAAAGCAAATTCTTATTAAGCTCAGCAAGAGATTTTTTTTATCAGAAGACTTTGTATCACGTTCCTTTGTAGTGCAAAATATTTCTGAAATGACCATGGTGAAAAGGGAGAAACTCTTTGTTTATGTTAAAGAATAGTCTAAAAAATTCATTGTGTGACATGTATTTCTTTGTTAATTACAACAAACACACTGCAATAATAACACTGGAAGCACATCTTTAGAAAACGCAAAAAGAATTAGAGATTATTGTCTCTTAGAGTGACTTCTTGTGGCTTTCTACCCCCTATAAAATCATACAAGAAGAGTATAATTCATTCTTCACTCTGTGTACAGTAATTTTTACTGTATAATCTTCCTCCAGAGGTGGATACACATTAAATAGTAACTGACTTCAGGTTTATCTTTAGTGATGACCATGTTGACGGAACCAAGAAATTTCCCAATTTCTATACATACCAAGTTGGGTGGGGCTTTGTTACTGAAACCAGTCAGTTTTATGGAGTGCTGATTAGATATTTGTCTTTCAGCCACGCAACGGAAGAAGATCAGTGGATTTTCGCTAAGGAGGTACCTAATGCTTTTAATCACAATCTATATTTAAATTAGTGTCTTTTTATACAAATAGGGCACAATATTTGTGTTGAGGAGTTGTCTCAGACAGCCTTTTACTGTTTTGTCAATTTAGATTTCTGCAGATAAGCCTTTCACAGATGTTCTAAATTCATGTACCTTCAAGCAAAGCGAGTAGAAGCTGTAGATCTTCAGTTCTTAGAACTGAGAACACAGAGCCGTTTCAGGCAGCAAGAAATGGAAAATATCCCAGATCTGTAAGCAGTTTGGAAAGTTAACAGTGATGATAAGTGTATGTCCGGAAGAACTGATACAACTAGCTATGAAACACATATTGACATCCTGGGGGTAATCCCCCTGTTCTTACACAGCAAAAAACCTCACAATGAAACTAAGTGCAGGCTTCAGGATTTAACTTCAAATCATTCAGCTCTTTGGAGCTGATCTGGATTTGGAGTGATATAATAAAGTTTCCCTATGCCAATATTTTAATGCTCTGTTTTCTAATATATCTTATATCTATATCATATTTTAAGTATTTAGTATTTAGTGTTATATTTTACCAAGAGCTAAAGCTTTTTCTTATTTTTCAGGATTTTAGATTCCTGACCTAGAACTAATGCTGCAGGAATGCTGAGTACATGGACATACTGTTTTCCTTACAAAAATTATTCATCTCCAATGTACAATTAAATCACTGGAACGTAAATGTTCTTAAATTAGATCCTGTTAGGATTCAAATGTTTCTTTATTTTGTTGATTATATTAAAAGCATATTAAAATTCGTTGGTTTGTAGTGTTATGCTGTTTATAACTGTGTGTAATGCAACTATAAAAAGTCACAGTGTATGCATGCAACAGACATTGCCTCTAACAACACTGTTATGTACATTTATTTTCCCTTATAAATAAAAGCACTCAGTTAGAGGGTTGTTTTAATGAGAATGTTTGCGATGTAGACCAGTGATTTTCTTTCAGAAGATATTGTAAGTGATTTGTGCAGTCTTTGAAATCACGGTTTATCTAGGGAGGCCAAACAAAAGGTGTGGTAGGCTTTCCAAGATGATGTTCTTTGCAAGATGATGTTCTCTACGCCTGTACTCGCTTCACTGTAGCCTGTAGACTTCTGGCAGCCTGCAGGGTCAAGATAAGTGCTTTGCGGGTGGTTTACAGAACTATATTGATGATAAAGGAGTTGGCAGTCCTCAATAAGCCTTAAGGTTAATAGTGTTTCATTGGCTGAAAAAATTAGTATCTCTATTCCCTTAACTAAAGGAAATGGGGTAAATTGCCTGTTTTGAAGAAACACCTTTACTTAAATCAACTAAAACACGAAAACATCATTTTTTTTTAGCTATGTCTTATTTTTAGCTGTTAAGAACACAGATGCAGTACAGTTCTCATTTAGAAGATGACTAAATGGTGTTAATTACATTCTTTGAGAATTAGGATCCATTTGAAAACTCAGCTGTTTTTGATGAAGAATTAAAGCAATTCCACTCGAAAGAACGGAATTAGCCTCACAATCTTCCTCGCTTCTCTCTCTGAGTTTGTTTTCACATCAGGGTTGTGTTAAAATACAATGTGGAAAGTGGCTAATGCACCCCACGACTGACAGCTTCCACCCCATGGAAGGAGCAGGCCATGGCTGAATGGCGGGCAGGGAAGCAGGGCTGCCTCCTTCAGTCACACTCACGGCCTGCAGACTGAAAGTGCCCCCCATTTGATGGCTTTGTTTGCTTGGACTTAGTTTATTCTTGATTGTTTTCTGTTGTTTTTGTTCTTCTGAAACTGTTTTGTCAGCAGTAACCAATGGCCGATGGGCCGGGGCCCACTGCCCACCTCACGCCGCCATCATTAGAAGGGGTGAGGGCAGGGCTCCCTGCCCCAATGGCCACCACCTTCCTGCCACCATCGGCTCGGTGGCCTCCCTGAGGAGAGGCAGAGCCCGGGGGGAGCCATGCAGGTGGGCACAGAGGGTCATCCCAGCCCCGAGCTCCTCTGGTGGGGCAGATGGAGGGCGGTGAGGGAGTTGGGGCCCAGAGGCCAAGGAAATGGGGGAGGCTGCAGGTGGGCAGCGGTTGGGGATGAAAGGATTGAAATTATCCAGACTTTGGGCTCCCAAACTTGACATATGCATCACCCCTGGCAAAGCTGGTGGTAATTAACAACATCATTAGCATCAGTTAGAAGCATTACGAGAAGATTTTCACTTGAGACTGTGGCCTGCTAGGAGAGTAATACTGCTTCAGCAGTCTAGCTTCATACTCCAAAATAATTTACATTGAGTCACTTTTTTGCCGTTGCTTGGCTCCTTTGCACTCTCACTATCAAATATCTTCTCAAATTTTTGACACACACTTTCATTTATTTAATCTGTGCACGTTACTGTAACCTTGAACTGATCACTTAACACTAACTTTTGAAACACTGATTTAACTCAATTTGTTAAAAGATTGTTAAAGGTCTGATTGCTTCTGATCTTCTCTTCCTTGAGACTGGAATTCAGACGGATCAGACACGCCTGTTTCTGTTACGTTCACTGTGATCTAGGATTCTTGATCCTTTTTTTTTTTTTTGCTTTTACATTTTGTAGATGTAGCATCTAGAAAATGTCCAATGAACAACTGTTTGCACAAACATATTGAACATTAAAAACGTTAAAAAGACATAGTACAAAATGCACCGTTTAAGCAAAATACTATGGAAAGATTTTATGTAAGAACTAAGTTTTTTCTGAAAAACACAAAACGTCAAAATCTTTCCTGGCAAAAAGTGGCAAGAGCTTATCTTCTAAGTTAGCTACATTCTAATTCTGTTTCAGTAGTCTTTTTTGTTGTGTGGTTTTGAAATTATTTGTCCAGTTGTTATGATTATTTTTATTACTGTTTTTTAATGCCTCATGATTCTTTGTAATCCTTCTGCTATGGAGAAGCATTTGCTTTCTGTGAAGTGGGAAAAATCTGGCCCTGAAGTCAGGAAAACATACACTAAAGCACTCGTGTGGAGGCCAAAGTGCACGTGCATCACTCGTGTTTCTTCACTGGCTCCCTTGGAAGAGTAGCCCGCTTAGTTCTGTGGATTTTTTGATACCCTGGCTGTACCTAGGTCAAAATTCTGCTTTGGTGAAGGGTTGAAAACTTGGAATAAGCCTGACTATAGGACTTTTTTTTGTGTAAGTAAACCCTGCGGAATTACACTGTGGCAAAATCTTCATTTGGGTTTTTCCTATTCCAGACCCATTAATGACCATCAAATTCATTAGATTGTACATGGAGCTTCTCTTATTTTTTCCAGTGGATTATATCAATTACTTTTCAGTCAAAAAAGGAGAAAACATCACTTATTATTAATTCTTTATCTATGTTTTCATATGCAGATAAAGTTGTTGTTTGTTTTGTTTTTTTTTTTTTATGGAATTGCCCAGGCCGGAAGGGACCTCCAAAGGTCATCTAGTCCGACCTCCCCGCAGTCAGCAGGGACACCCCCAACTAGACCAGGTTGCCCAGGGCCTCATCGAGCCTCTCCTTGAATATCTCCAGGGATGGGGCCTCAACCACCTCCCTGGGCAACCTGTTCCAGTGCTCCACTACCCTCACAGTAAAGAACCCCCTCCTAATCTCCAATCTAAATCTGTTCCCCTCCAGCTTGAACTCTCAGGAACTAACTGCCACTTCCTTTCCACTCCAAACCCTCCAAAGTCTTGCTTCCTCACCCATGCCAGAAGAAACCGGCGGAGGTAAGAGTCTTCTCGCAAACCCGCTGTATTTACCCTCCCTGTGAGCAACAGCATGATTCTGTTCACTCTCTTTGTGCACTTCTCAAGTATGTTTTCAGATAAAATGCAAAGTGATTCTTTTGGCTTTAGGAAATTTCTTGAGGCTTGTGTAGCATTTGGTCTTCATTAGAATTTAATTTATTATACTCATGCTCAGTTCTGTAGCAGAGATTTGTTAAATAACAATGAGGCATCTGTCAGCTGTCAGGGCCAATGTAGTACTCATAGGCACAGTAGTAAGCCAGTGGAAATCCTGGATGTTTCCTCAGGTAACATTTTTGTAATGTTCTTTTTGTTCATTTGATGCTACATTATTAATGAATTATGAATATCACTAAATGTTTCTGATACATACATATTTGTAGACATTTCTTTATGGAGGTTTTCAAACAAGTCATCATTTCAGGGCCCAAAATACCACACATTTTGATTAACAACCTGTTTTAAAATCTGCTTTACTACTTCTTATCCATCTTCGAGGCCTCCTAATGTATTGCTATTCTACTCTGCCAAGAGCAGTCCAGTTACAATAAACAAATTTTTTTAAATGTGATAATTTCAGTAGAAATATAGTCTTATAGATAGCGTACCGTTCCTTTATCTTAACCATTTAATTAAACTTAGCACAAATGTAGACTTAACACCTACAGAATCCTGTGTTATTAACATGGTCTATGAAGTAGCTTATGCTGACATATTAATATTAATCACATACATATTCATGATAGAGAAAGGTCCATGAAGGTTTTTCAGCCTCTAAGTAATGGTTTCCTTTTGTTACATCTTTAATATGTGCCAAAGTGAAAAAGGGATGGTTTTGGTTTAAAAAAAAAAAACGCACACAAGACTGATTTGTTGATTTAGTTTTGTTTCATAACATTAAAACAGGATCCAAATGAAGATACCGAATGGAATGATATTCTGAGAGATTTTGGAATTCTTCCTCCAAAAGAAAAACTGAAAGATGAAACTGAAGAAATGGTTTTACACCTGCAGAAAGAATCAGAAGGCAAGTCAAATTCAAAATACATGCCAGTAGTATAACAATATTGGAAAAATAGAGGTATTTTCAATAACGCTTTTTGTAACTTAAACATTGTATAATAATTATATTTTTATTTTAATTACTTTCACTTGGTTACTTTAAAAATGATTCTGAATTAAATATACAACACAGTTAGTGACAAACATTATGGCATGTACCAAATATGGACTAATTTTCATCATTTCATAAAGGAACCACTCAGCATAAACAAGATTCACATTCTGAGAAATTGCTAGTAATCCACTCCATATTTCTGTATTTTCCTCTATAGTTATATCTAAATACATTTCTTTTTTTCAGAGTTATGCCAAAGTTGAGTAATTTCTGAAATAGTTCACCTTTTCCTTTCATTAGTTCCGTGGTTGTGTAATATTTTTCAAATATTAAAAATGTTTGCAGGAACTTTGGAGAACAAAAGGTGACTAATTTTTATTTGCTGTTTCTAGTGAAAGCGTATGGAAGAATGAATCTTGAAGAATTGGAGGAAGCTGAAGATGACTCTGATGAGGCCGATAGGAAAGCTATTGAAATGTACAGGTCAAGTAAGGTATTTCTACCCAGATTAACAGTGTACATGTCACTATTGGCCCATGAAATGGACAGGCAGCAGGTCGCGGGTAACCCTTTTCAGTTTGTTGCACAAGAACATTAGGAAAAACAAGGTCCCAACATACATGGCTCCAGCTTTCTGAAAGATACTGAGTTTGTGCGTATGGACCGTGTGCCAGCTATATCAGGATGGCGTGCCATTACAGGAGGAAACTGTAATTCAGTGCTGAGATCAAGCTGGTTAGTATTTTGACTTGATATTTAAATAATTTATCTGAGTATTTGTACGCACAGAGTTTTTACACGGAATAAAAATGCTAATACAATCAAAACGTTTCCTCTGTCTGCATTCTGGCTGTACTTACTGCTTTTGCATTGTTAAAATGACTAAAACAATTCTAGTGCTAACGCTGTGTATCTAGTGCTGTGTTCTCACAGGGAGATAACAGTTCAAATAATTATGTGAAAGTTGGAACCTAAATTATCACGCATTCTTGCTAGAGTATAATAACATCGCATATGTATTATATAATTTTCTATAGTGGCTTTCAGTTAGTATAATTAGTTGCTGCTTTTAGTTCCACAAATCTGTGAAGCATTTTCCTTTGCCCACTTGCAAGTATTTTTGTAGATGAAGACTGCCATCTACTGCTTTTACATTCCAATTTTCATGAATTATTTTAGAATTGTGTCATAAAAATTACTATAAGTACTGGTAGTTCTTCCTCAAACTAATTTTCGGACTCATAGAAACAATTAGTAGTGGCACAATCTTTTTATCACTTTGTCTCAAATGACAAACCCTTGTGCTACGTGTTTGTTACTCGTTTCCCAAATCTGGTACTGATGAACTGAGAATATGAATTTTATTGTTATCTTATTGAATAAAGAGTAGCACAGAAGCCTTTCTAGCTCTGAAATTACATTAGAAGACCTTGAGCTAAAGGGTTACTCAAAGCATTTTAAAAAGTAATTGAGAGAAATGCACTAGATATTATTTTTAAATGTATTTAAAATCTTCCAAAGATGCTTATTGTTATTACTACTTTTTAATTAGGCAGCAACGCTTGCAAGAACGGAAATGTCTTCAGAGGAGGCAAAAGTATGGGGAGCTGACAGAAATCTGTGGAGAGCAGTATGTAAAAGAAGTTACAAATGCTCCAAAGGATGTTTGGGTTATAATTCATCTTTATAGGTCAAGGTAATTACATTCTTGTTTAAGATGATGAATACTTCAATACCAATAATTGAACTGGTAATTAAAAAGCAATACCAGGACAAATTAAATGCAATAGACTAATGAAATAGCTATTGTTTGGAGGCAATGGAATCACAGAGCATGGGACCTCCTTGATCTGTTAATTCACTTTGTTAGAGTTGATCACTTGACTTCTGTTCCATTATATGAAAGATTTCTTTTGCTCTCTGTGCTTACCAACACCTACTGCACCTCACCGCGAGATTTCTTAATTTCACTGGGACAGTGGCCTCCACTCTCTGTGTTAGGGAAAGTTCGTTTGCAGACTCTCTTCTCAGCAGAATTATTCTACCTTTATTTCCCCTTTAACTTGAACAAATTAAAAGTCCAACAGGAAAAGTCTCAGCTCTGAGAACTGAAGGATGCTAGGGAATTTGTCAGTTTATCAGTTCCCCAATAAATCCTCTCATGGCAGCAGAAGTTGCGAGATGATCCAGCAGAAATATCAAAGGACTCCCATGATTAGTTCAGCGCACGTTAGTGACTCTAGTAGATATTTTTAAAAAGCACTGAAAATTAGCACTGAAAATGTTTAATGCATTTTTTTAGATGCAGATGAGTTTTCCCTCAGCTGTCAGGAACTGGGCATTATTTCCAGGAGCAACTGGAATAGATCAATCAAATGAAACTGTTCAAACTACAATAACTTAAATTTACAGATCTGAAGAAAGAAAACAGCAGCTTTTCTTACTTTTAATTGGTTTTAGTTACTGGTGAACCAGTTCTACGCTTTACCATTGCATAAACACGAGGGTATGGGGAAACCCTTAATCCCTTAGGAATGACTAGAGATGCACAGCTAAATAAAATTTGTGGTGCAATTCTTATAACAAATTAAATTAGAAGCAGACTATAGGAAAAATGCTACATTTAGAATATCATAGAACGGTTTGGGTTAGAAGGGATCTTAAAGATCATCTTGTTCCCACCCTCCTACCATGGGGCGTTTATTCTTCAAAGGCTTGATTTTTAATAACTTTTAGTTATTTTAAAAATCATTTACACTGGAACTGTCATCATACTTTCTTATTCTTTCCTAGAAATTGTGTCATAAAAATTACTGTAAGTACTGGTAGTTCTTCCTCAAACTAATTTTCGGACTCATAGAAACAATTAGTAGCGGCACAATCTTTTTATCACTTTGTCTCAAATGACAAACCCTTGTGCTACGTGTTTGTTACTCGTTTCCCAAATCTGGTACTGATGAACTGAGAATATGAATTTTATTGTTATCTTATTGAATAAAGAGTAGCACAGAAGCCTTTCTAGCTCCGAAATTACATTAGAAGACCTTGAGCTAAAGGGTTACTCAAAGCATTTTAAAAAGTAATTGAGAGAAATGCACTAGATATTATTTTTAAATGTATTTAAAATCTTCCAAAGATGCTTATTGTTATTACTACTTTTTAATTAGGCAGCAACGCTTGCAAGAACGGAAATGTCTTCAGAGGAGGCAAAAGTATGGGGAGCTGACAGAAATCTGTGGAGAGCAGTATGTAAAAGAAGTTACAAATGCTCCAAAGGATGTTTGGGTTATAATTCATCTTTATAGGTCAAGGTAATTACATTCTTGTTTAAGATGATGAATACTTCAATACCAATAATTGAACTGGTAATTAAAAAGCAATACCAGGACAAATTAAATGCAATAGACTAATGAAATAGCTATTGTTTGGAGGCAATGGAATCACAGAGCATGGGACCTCCTTGATCTGTTAATTCACTTTGTTAGAGTTGATCACTTGACTTCTGTTCCATTATATGAAAGATTTCTTTTGCTCTCTGTGCTTACCAACACCTACTGCACCTCACCGCGAGATTTCTTAATTTCACTGGGACAGTGGCCTCCACTCTCTGTGTTAGGGAAAGTTCGTTTGCAGACTCTCTTCTCAGCAGAATTATTCTACCTTTATTTCCCCTTTAACTTGAACAAATTAAAAGTCCAACAGGAAAAGTCTCAGCTCTGAGAACTGAAGGATGCTAGGGAATTTGTCAGTTTATCAGTTCCCCAATAAATCCTCTCATGGCAGCAGAAGTTGCGAGATGATCCAGCAGAAATATCAAAGGACTCCCATGATTAGCGGAACTCTGCTCTGCTAAGCACCTTCTCCCCTAAAAAGGTGATTAGAAGGGATCTTAAAGATCATCTTGTTCCCACCCTCCTACCATGGGGCGTTTATTCTTCAAAGGCTTGATTTTTAATAACTTTTAGTTATTTTAAAAATCATTTACACTGGAACTGTCATCATACTTTCTTATTCTTTCCTAGCATCCCACTATGTTTACTGGTTAACGACCACCTCAGCCTGCTAGCCAGGAAGTTTCCAGAAGTCAAGTTTCTCAGAGCCATTGTAAACAGCTGCATTCAGAATTACCAGGACAGATATTTACCCACAATACTTGTATATAAAACTGGTGAGATAAAAGGCAGGTTCATTGGAGCAGCTGAATGTGGGGGAATATATCTTAAAGTGGAAGGTATAAGAAATATTTTCAAATAATTCATGTTATACAAAATTTTATGTTGTTTGTAACTAGTAGGTCTAAAGATCACTGCTTAAAAGTTTGGACTATTTTTGTAGAAAAAAAGTCTAAAAAAGCAAAGAATCAAGTTATGTAATTTTGTGGTAAGAATATGGGATAAGCATGGATATTTTGCAATTCCGTGATTAGATATTACCCTGAGATAAAGTTGGGTTGTCGCGAGGATGGTTCTATTTATTGTTGTTGTTGAGATGGAGCTTGGTCTTTCAGTGAAAGTCCTTTTCCTCTTCAGTGAGAATATATTGCATTTATCAAAATAAATTGTAAACTGTTTTTACAGAACTGGAATGGAAACTAGCAGAAGTTGGAGCAGTGGAAACCGACTTAGAAGAAAACCCCCCAAAAGACACTGTGAACATGACAACACTGTCAGCGTGGAGTATTTCTGCTCATGAAGACACCGATACAAAAAGCAGTGATGTGATGAAACCACGTATTACTTGAAAAAATTTTGATGTAGACCATCTGTTCTGACATAAATTAGCTCAAACACAAATTTTTACTTCTTTGGTAAGCCTGAAACAATTAAATTTTTTTTTTTTGATTGGTGGAAGAAAATGGATGTAGTAAACAAAAGCCATATTTACCTTTGGATACATATAGACAGCTGCTCATTGACACCGAGAGCCTGGATTCTCCATTTCATACAAACTCTGCTAAAACGGAAGGGGAAGGGGAGGGTATTAGCTGGGCTCTAATCCAAACTTTCTTCCTCCTTTTATCCAGCATGGGTGCCAGATACTCCTTTAATTCCTGGTGAAATGTCCATAGTGGGACTCTGCTCTGCTAAGCACCTTCTCCCCTGAAAAGGTGGCCCAAAGCCAATTATGTGTATAGTGATACAAAATCAAGATTTGGCCCTGAATCCATCGACTAACAGTTCCGTTTGTTTGACAGGCGTTTAAGAATATTCCCACTAGTTTAGAATAATGACAGTTGGATCAGCTGTTCCTTCCTAACAAAAATAAGTATATCCTAAACAAAAGAGTTTACAGTACAACTGCAGATAAGCAAAACTAGAGTGAATGAAGAGACCGCGCTCCCAATTCAGTATTTTTATTATGAGTAGTGACTCAAACTGTACAAAACCAATCTCAACGTGCTAATGAAGATTTAGTTATACAGTTGACGTGGTTTATAGCATCAGGATGCAGAAAGAAAAGTCAAACAGAAACAGTTCGTTTGACAGTTGGCACGTAGATACCTAAGAACAAGAAAACTGACATGAGCCATTGTGTTTTTTTCACCCAGTAGGATGCGGTATTCGTAGATACCTAATGGCAGATACCACTTCTAGAAACTTTTATTTTGCAGATTCAAAGAGATAACTAGTAGATGCATTTCCGAGATAATGGCTTATCCGCCGCTTGAGACTAGAAGCAAAGTAGTAGTTTTAAATGTAAATAGGTCATCAGTGACTAGATACGATTCCACAGTCACGTCAGGTGAATTATCAGCGTTGGGTGCTGCAAAAGGAGCACTGCCCCCACTTCCTCTTAGTGTGAGCCTCCCTCCTGCTACCGGGCCTGCCCTGAGCTGCACAGCCACAAGGCTCAACTCTGCAAGCGCTCCCGTTGTCACACTGGAAGCTACAGGAACGTGTCACGAGATACGACAGGAAAGGGCCAAACATCCCCTTTGGTGAAAAGGGTCTAGAAGTGAACCTTAGTAAACCTTGTTTTTCAAGGATTACGTAGATTGTTAAAGTCTGCATCTTTGCTAAAGTGGACGTGATGAGTGAACTTTGCTGCGCGATGTGAAATTTAGTTCCAAAAGCAGCTTTCTCAAACAGATCCTGCTCTGAATACGCCAGTGAGGATCAAACAGGAACATTCTGAGCAGATGACTCTTCTAGCTACGCACAAGATGGCGATGACAGTTCCACAGGAAACATGGCTACAGTTAATGGAAGTGCACTGGAAATTTCTGCATTGTTTGGCCCAGTCTGGTCCCATCATTCAATAACTCACAAAAGATTCAGTGCTTATACTTCGGTAATGTCTGAAAATTATGTTATCTCTCAAGTAACCTTTGTGAGTGAAACACACATCATTACACACCTGAGCAAACTCACATTGACAGTAAGTGCCACATTACACACCTGAGCAAACTCACATTGACATTGACATTGAAAAACTGTATTTCTAGGTGAACAGTTTCATAAAAGCCCCGCACCATTTCTAAGCTTTCTGTCCTGTTCCTTCAGAGGCCTTTAAAATACTTTCAAAAGAGAAGCAGCATCAAAAAAATGACCTTGGTTAAGCCATGACCTTGGTGGAAAACGCAAATGCCTGTGATTTCCACAGCTATTTTGCCTGTTTTGATCTTGCCAAATACCAAAGAGTAATTTGCTAGTGCGACATCGCAGCAGGTAGGTGTTACACTCCCATACATACAAGGCGGGGAGACAGACTGCAGAAGAATTACTGAATAATTACTACTGATTACTAAAGATCTTGTGGCAAATTTCATTCAAGAGCATTATTGTTTGTCCTAGTAATGAAATTATTACTTTTGCTTATATCACATTTTCCTCAAATGAAAGATAGAGTATTATGAATCAATAAGTAACAAAAATAAGTGGTTTTACTAATGCTTTTTAAAATTCTTCCAGTGGAAAAACAGCTCTTTCTCAGCGTTACTGCTAAAAAGGTTCCTGCCCTTACAAAACCTTTGGATAAGACTTTGGTCACAAGGTGAATCAAATGGGAAAGCTGATCTACCTGAAAAGTAACCCAGAAAGAAAAATCCATGAGATTGTGCAGTCCAGTCAAATTCCTTATTTCACTCCAAACAAAAATGCTAATTAAGCTTTTATGGATACACACTTGCAATTATGCTTTGAGATATACTGCTGTTTAGGAGATCAACTGAAAAATAAACATTCTCATAACAGGGAAAGAAAACTGGGAATATTTACATACTTATACACATTTACATACATTTCTACTGAGCAATGTTTTATTTTAGAGGAAACAGTTCGTCGCTATGTTCTGCTGCATAACAGGTTTATGCTAACATAATCACTGCACATTTAAGCATATTCCAGTCCTGCAGGAGGCAGAAGGACTGGAATCCGCTAAGGTTGTACATAATGACTGTGCAGTATCAGTCAGTCGCCTCTCGGATTCACTCTGACCCCTGATGCCTTTTGTATTTATTAGCTAGGCTCTTTCACAGCTTTCTCTGCAAAGTCAATAGCACGGGCACATCCTACAGCTTTCAGAAGCTTTACCAACACAGAGGAATGCTAACTTTTACGATCAGAGATAGACCTGCAAACTTCTACTACAGCTGTGTCTTCCTGTGCTGAAATGACACATTTTCTGAGTCTACAGCTCCTCACCCTGTAGCTGCCCAACCAGGACACTCCAGCCCCAGTACTAAAGTACATACAGGGCACTTCAGTTTATCAAGTTCGCAATTACTCTTTTACCTTGCGGCCACATTAAAAAAAAAAAACAAAAAACACAAACCAAACATGAGAAGAATGGACTTAAATTGCTTCTTTTCAAGTCAGAAAGCAGGCAATTTAAGTTGCTGTGAGCCTTCCCTCAGGCTGCTGGCCCAGAGACCCCTCACACCTCAGCAGCCAGGTCAGTACTGTACGACACTAATTGGACAGTATCCGTACAGCGCTTTAAAAGTTACGGGGCTTTATCAGGTGTTGAGATTTTAAACCCGCCTAGGGTCGCTTCTTATTTTTAACGTTTTATTTGGTAAAACCGGTATGAAAACCATTGTAGGCAGGGCTGAGGCAGTCAAGCCTGTCCCCCGCCACTCTGTTAAATTTGTACACAACGTTGAAAAAAAACAAACAAACAAAAACGCCGGGACGGGTCGCTTGTGCCCTCAAATAACGTGTGGCGGCACCGTGCGGGCTCCCCGTTCCCCCCACCTGCCACCCTCAGCCCAGCGAGCGGCCGCGCCGCCATTTTCCCCTGGCGGGGTGAGGTGAGGCGAGGTGAGCCCAGGTCAGGGCGGCGCGGCGAGCACGGCGCACGCGCAGTCAGCCCCTCCTCTCCCCCCTTCCCGCGCAGGCGTAGCACGCGGGAGGGGAGGGGGGGGAGAGCGACGGGGACGCGCATGCGCGGTGGCGGCGGCGGCCCCCGGCGCTGGAGCGCGG